GGAAATTAGCAGCACTATTAAACAACAATACATAACATACTGGAGAGAGAATATGACAAATGAAAAAACAAAACTGAGAACATACATTAAATTTAAAATTAATTACAATCTGGAAAATTACATTAATGTTTTGGATAATAATCAAAGAATATCAATGGCTAGATTCAGGACAAGTAGTCACAATCTAGCCATTGAAAAAGGCAGACATACCAATCCAAAAACCCCATTAGAAAATAGAATTTGTAAACAATGCCCATTACAGGAGATCGAAGACGAATTACACTTTCTTTTAGTTTGCCCACGATATCAAACAGATAGAAATGATTTTATTTCCAATATTTTATTCCCCAAAGAAATCATTACCAACCTGCAAAAATTCACATATTTAATGAAAAGTAATGACAGAAATATAATAAAACTTTTAGGGGAATTTTTACATAAATCATTTATTTTAAGAAATGAGCTTTTTTTGGATATAATACCTTGACTCTTTTTTTTTCTATTTTTTACGTTATCGTACTTTGATTTTTTTTTTTAATCACTTATATATTTATTGCTGTAAACCAATAGAACATTTGTAATTCCAAGGATGCAATAAAGTTATTATTATTATTATTATTATTATTATTACATGTAATACTGGTGAAAATTTTAATATCTAGAGAATGAAAAGTGATATCAATAAACTGTAAATTGCATGTCCTTACATTTTCCAAGCTGTATCATCTGGGAGTATTGTTAGCCTTGACTTTTCTTTTAATTGTTACTTTGGGAGACTAGTCTTGTAGACGATTATTTCTCCTATGTGATTTCTGACCTAGATTCACTTAAGATCTGCTGTCAAACTACGTACATTATGTTGCGTTAATGGAGGAGTCTTCATCAAGGTTGGTCAGTATGTTGGTGCGTTGGAGTATCTGTTACCTAAAGAGTATGTAGAGACCATGAAAGTGTTGCACAATGATGCCCCCCAGTCATCATTACAAGACATGTGTAAAGTAATAAAAGAAGACTTGGGAAAAGATGTAAGTGTACAAAATAAATCTAATTACCCCGGTAGTTCTGACAAAGTCAGAAAGCTGGGATTCAGAGTGTGCACGAGTATCTGTCCATCATTATGTTAGGATACATGTCCATGACGATTTGTTTTACAATTGGATCAAAGATGGCCGACTGGCAGCCATCTTGTTTTTTGAAAATGTCGTATTTTGGACATGCTTTGTCATTTTTCATTCAAATTTAGTACATAGATCATACATGTTAGGATACATGTCCCCGGTCGTCCATGAGTTCCTGAGTCTGTCCGTCCATGTGTCTGTTCGTCCGTGCGTCAGTCTGTCCAGAGTCATATTTCAGAATACTGTGGACTGATTA